TAGAGTTCGTTCGCGTTGCAGGGTAAAGAGGGGCCGCACACGCGCGCACCTGCAACACCGTCGCACGCACATGCCCACGCAAGTCTGCAAGGGCTTCAACTGCAGTGCCGCACATGCTGCAGATGCACACACACAGGATGCACATGCCTGCGCGAGTCCACAATCACTTCGACTGCCTTGCCGCACGCGCATGTCGCAGGTCGAGAACGGAGGGACGAGGGAGCGGGGGGAAGGGGGAGTGCAGGGGCGGAGAGGGACGAGGGAGGAGTGAAGGGGAGCGAGGCAGGGAGCGACTGAGGGAAGAAAGCGAGTGAGGGAAGAAAGCGAGTGAGGGAAGGGAAAGAGGAGGGGAGGGGCGGGGAGGGACGTGGAGGGGACGGACCACGGACGGCGGTGTGGGGAAAAAGGGGGGGCACAAGGGAGGGATGTGGCGGGGAGGGACGGAGGAGCGAAGGGAGGGAGGGGGGGAAGCGAGTGCTCAGGGAGACACAAAGACAAGGATGGGGAGGGTGGGCAGGGAGGAGGGACAAGGAGGGGCCTGCTCGATGGTCATACATACCACGCTATTAACCGCCCCTCCACTCATATGTCTCCTCCTTACCCGCGAAATTCAGAACGAAGGTGGTGAGGAGGGGAAGGAGGAGGGGGAGAAAGGATTACGGAGGAAGGAGGGATGTAGTTTACTCTGCGGCCCAGGCTGAAAGCCTGCACCTTCGTCACTTAGGGCCAGCGCGTTCCTTTCCAGCCGCCCGACGCCCGGGAAGCTCCTGGAGCTCTCAGTCCCTTCCCTGCGCTCGCATCCGCGCGCGCGCCGAAACACTGGCCCTGGGCAGGCTTGTGCTGCCTGGCGAAGGAGCGAAACAGAGAGAGAGAGAGAGAGCGAGAGAGACACACACGGGGGGAGGAGGGAGAGAGGGGAAGGAGGGAGAGACGAGAGGGGGAGGAGTGGGAGGAGGGAGGAGAAGGAGGGGAGGAGGGGAGAGAGGAGGACCAGCACGCATCCTGAAAGGGGGTTCTGCCGTCTTGGCTGCAAACGCGCGGCGGCGCGTAGGCGCGGGGCGCGCATGAATCTCGGGATGGCGAGATCGGAAGGAGGAGGAGGAGGAGAGGAGGATGAGGAGACTAGAATCTGAGGAGTGGAAGGTAGCATTCTTCTGAAGGCGAATGCAAGAAGGTGGGCAGGCCTGCGCGGGCCGATGGGCGCGCGGAGCGGCAACGACACGGGGCTAAAGAAGCTGCTCCGCTCGGCGCGCCACGCGGCATCGCGCGGGGGCAAAACAAAACGACGTCTCTACTCTACTCGTCACGTTGTAACGCCGAGGGGCAGGCAAAAATACGAACCCACTCCTACTCACCATGTGGCAACGCCTGGGGGGGCGAACAAATCCGCCGACCCTGTCGGCGTGTGGAAGCCGCTCTTCCGTTCGTCGTCGTCGCCGTCGCCGTCGCCGTCGCCGTCGCCGTCGCCGTCGTCGCCGTTCCCCCCCTTTCTCGGGGCCCTCCTCCTCAAGCGCGCCAGCCAAAGCGATGGCGAAATTAAGCAACAGTTGAGTCGATGGGAACCCCTTCCCTTTGATCTCTTCTCCACCGGGGGGGGGGTCCCGCGGGGGGTTCCGGAGGGGTTCCTGGGGAAGTCCCGGGAGGTCCTAGGGGGGGGGTCAGAATACCAACCCGAGACGGGCAAAGAGTGCCCCCAGAGGCCTCCAAGACGGCCAAGAGGGCCGCGAATCGCCGAATCCCACTAGCCCTCTGGGCGCAGGTGGTCTAACGGTGACATTTTTTTCTACACAAGGATTATCACTGTTCCCTATCGATATACACCCCCTCACCCAGGCGACTGGGAGCCAACCAGGGTCAATGCGGCCCCCCCCACCATCCCCTATAAAAAAACCATACAAAACACGCTCTGCCTCCAAATTCGGAGCATGCGCAGCGAACCCGATTCGGCCTCCCCCCACCATCCCTGTCAAAAAGCAATACAGAGTACACTTGGCGGCGGCGGCGGCGGCGGCTGCGGCGGCTGCGGCGGGGGCAGCGGCTGCGGCGGCTGCGGCGGTGGCGGCGGCGGCGGCAGTGGTGGCGGCAGCGGCTGCGGCGGCAGCTGCTGCGGCGGCGGCGATTCGGCAGCGGGGGCGACGGCGGCGGTGGTGGCAGCGGCGGCGGCGGGCGGTGCGGCGGCGGCGGTTGCGGACGGCGGCGGCAGGCGGCGCGGCGGCGGCGGCGACGAACAGCGGCGGCGGGGCCGACGGCGGGCGCGGCGCGGCGGCGGCGGCGGGCGGCGGCGGCGGCGGCGGAGGCGGCGGCGGCGGCGGCGGCGGCGGATTCGCCCCCAGTAGCTGCCCATCAGGGCGGGTGGGAGTGAGCGAGACGGCTTGCGGGCGGGGAGGGGGACTCTTGACCCTTCCCACTAGCCCCTCCCCTGGACCTGGACGGGAGGGGCCGCGAGGAGTTAGACGTCCAAGATCGGCCCCTGGGAGGGCCATGTTCGACACCCTTCACGAGGATCGTGGCCCCCGAGGGGGGGGCCTCGATCGAGACCCTCCCTCCTTTGATCGATTGCCTCGAAGATGGCCCCAAGATGCGCTCCAGGGCTCCCAAGAGAGCCCCAAGAGAGCCCCAAGAGGGCTCCAAGAGGGTCCCAAGAGGGCTTCAAGAGGCACCCGATAGACGCCAAAGAGGCCCCCGAGCGGCCTCAGAGACCCCAAGATGACCTCCAAGATGGCTCAGATACCCCAAGCTGGCTCAAGATGGTTCCCAAGATGCTCCAAACGGCCCCAAGACCGCTGCAAGAGCGCCCAAGAGCGCTCCAAGAGAGCCCCAAGAAGCGGTTTGCCGGCTTCTGAGGGGGAAGCTGAGTTGAGGACCCCCCCATCCTGTAATCGATGGCCTCCAAAATGATCCCAAGAAGCCCTCCAGGGTTACCAAGAGGGTTCCAAGAGGGCCCCAAACCTCCCAGAGAGCATCAGCAGCAGCAGCAGTCGCAAGAAAACCTCGATATGTTTCCATGAGTCCTCGTCCGCCCCCAAGCGGCACCCAGGGATGGCCCGAAGAGGCCTTCCAAGACCACCCCCTTGCTCGCATTGCTTCCTTAGATGAGTCTCTTCAGCCTTTTCCCCGTCAACTCTGAAGGGCAGGGTTTCTTAATGGGCTGGTGGGGAACGAAGCGAGAAGAATTATCCGTCCCGTGCGCCACAGATGGCCTCCAGATGGTCCAAGACACCTCCCAGAGACTCTCGGCGGTGGACAGACCTCCCTTTCGTAAACCACCCTGTAATGAAAACAGCCCAAGACCGAAACCGACGGACCTGGACCCGCAAAAATAACGGCCGTGACGCCCTCTCGCAAACCGAAAACGGCCAATTCACGAATCGACGTGTCAGGGTAGGAGGTCTATCAAGCTCTGAGACTCCACGAGGCGGCCTCCAGGAGCACTCCGACGAGGGCCCCGAGGGGCAGAAATCTTAGATGCCCTTTCTTGTGTCGGAGGAGTTTGGGGGGGGTGATCTCGCCCCCTCGGCTTCCCGACGCTCCCAGAAGGCAAAGAGGCCCCCACAATCGCCCAAAGATCGCCCCAAGAGTTGGGTCGGGCGTGTTCTCCTCCACCACCACCACTGAGCCATGCATCCGGCAGGACGCGTGGGCGGAAGAGTGCACGAATGGCAACTCCTCGGGTAAATCATAACAAATGCGATAATGCGGCACGCCATTGAAACGGTAAATGTGTGGCGGGGCCTCGGCTGAGAATCGGGGTTGTGACGATCTGGCCGCATTTCCCAAGGACGCGCCGTTTCGACAAAGGTTGCTCGTGGAAAACCACGGTTGCGACACTTCGGCTGCATTTCCACAAGGCGGGGCGGCTACGACAGAATACGCCTATTCTGCTGGAATCGCGAGGCAGGCAAATAAGCACAACAATATCTGAGAGGCGCGAAAAGAGGACGAGATGCGGCGAGAGGGAGGGAGGGGAAGGGGAACAGGAGGAGGAGAGAGGGGGGGATACTGCTCAAAGCTACAACATCTCATACACAGAAGTGGCCCATCGCTCCCGCGGCCGCCCGCGCTTCCTCCGGGAGGCCCACTGTCTGGGAGAGCCGTCGTCGTTACAGAGTATTGATTTCGCTAAAGAAGAACCACCTCCATTCGCGATCTTGGTGTGCAATGCCATTTGCTTCTCACAAAGTATGACAGAAAGCGGCTTCGCTCTGGCCTTTTTCCAGCACGGCGGCGTTGGTGCCCCTGGAGATGTACGACGGCGGAATACACAATATCTTCCGCATGCATTTTCAATGAAAGGCGTCTAATCGCGCTTTCTCGGAGCCATACTGAATCCAAAGACACTAAGACCTTGCTCAAAACGCGTGCGGCATAAATCTTGCATTTTCACTTCCAATCAATGGCGGCGTGAGACCATAACTTGTGCCGTTGCTTGACCATGCTCGCTCCTTCGCCCAACCTCCGAGACAACTCACTCCCAGCCTTCCCGTCGCAAGATACTAGCCCACCCAAGTAGACGGTTTCCCTGACGGATGTGCGTGGTATCTCCTGGTGCGCTCACGGTAATCATGCGTCCGTTGCATAAGATAACGGAAGTGGCATGTCCTCGTACAGGCGGAATTTCTAGGAAAATGAAAAATAATAAAAAAAGCTCCCAAATGGCCAAATTAAAAAATACCCAAAAAATCGTCCCCTGATTATTTTGTACTATTTGGAAATATTCCTTGTGTAGAGGGACATGCCCGACTTAACCCAAGACCGCGCCGGAAGTCTCGAAAACGGCCCCGAATCGACCCAAGGGGGCCCCCGGGCAGCCCAAGAGGCCTCCAGGACGGCCCAAGAGGCCCCGAGACGGCTCTCAGAGCGTGCACACACAGGGGGTTCGAAAGGAGCTGTAGAATCTTCGGCCTCAGAGCCTCCCGGGAGGCCCCAAGAGGTCGCAAGAGGCCCCCCAAGATGCCTCCCGGGAGCCCCCAAGAGGGCTCCTCAGAGGCTCCCAGGAAGACCTAGAAGGCCGTCAGGATGCTCGCAAGAGTTCCCCAAGAGGCTCGGGAAGACCAAAGAGGTCTCCACCCCCTCCTCGTCCCTCTGTTCCATCTCCCTGTCATCCTCGCTTTTGGGGTCGGCGGCACCGGCCGTAAGATCTTCGCAATCAGAAATTATCGTGGGACACCCGTTGGCAGACCAGCTACAGGGAGAACGGAGACCTTGGGAGGCAACTTCTGGGAGGTCTTCGTAAGAATGATGAAGGGCCAAAAAAACCCGATTGGGGGGGCAGTTGAGTCTGATGCACCCAAACTATCCCCAGACTGAGCTCAACTTCAAGCCGGATTAAACCCGACTCCATGAAATTAGGCGGAGCCAAGCGGGATCGGGCCTGATCAGGCTGGTTTCAGACCACGGATGCGCCGATGTTGACTTTTTAACTGCCCAGGAGTTGCATCCCAAGGCGGAGGATCCGAGGGAGGTCGAGGACCCAAGCTCCAGCAACTTCTGGTGGCGCAGCAGACTATTCGCAATCTGTCGCTAGCTCTTGAAAGTTGTCTTTCCTCGGGATGATTTGTTTTGTTCCCGATGAGCCTAAGGCCTTCCAGTACGGCAACACACTGCCAAAACGTGCAAGCAAATCAGAACATAGACGTAAAGCATCCACTGGTGAAACGGCTGCTCTCGCAGCAACAAGCGGCAAATACCAGGAGCCATCGCCGCTTGTAAGCCTCGTTGTGTAAACCCCCGTGCAGAGCGCAACTGCAGGAATAAGAGTGAAGAGAGATGGAGGGAGGGGTGAAGAAAGGAGGGAAAGAGAGAGAGAGAGAGACAGAGGAACAAAAAAACATAAAAAGAGAGATAGAGAGAGAGAGAGAGATAGAGAAATTGATCAAAGCTGAACCGCCGCATAATGATTACAATTTGCGAGCCATCCCCGAACCCAGGCCATATCTAAGCTCACACTCCCCCACCCCACCACTATCAGGATAGGAACACCATGATTGCCGTTCCATTTTGTCCAAACGACTACTGCACCTGCACAGCGTTATCACTGCGCGGCTAACCACCCACGCCACCAGCTACCCGGATTGAAACCGGTAAGATAATGATTCCCCAGTCGGGCCTCCTCCGGCTCAAGGGGAACTCGAGCCGTATCTCTGCGCCCGCGTCACTGACACTGGGCCACATCAGTGCCCCCGAAGCCCACCGCTGTTGGCGGAGGCGGTTCCTTTGTCAACCTTCTGTTTGGCCACAGTTTCGCGCTGCTTGGTCGAAGGCGCAACGACGGGCCCGGCGCCATCCAGGCCTGGGCCGCCACGCCGCTGGGCTGGCCGCTGGCCGGGAGAACCCTGTGGTTCCGTCGGTTCCGTGGGCTGCGGTTCCCACGAGTGCGAAACGCCGCCCTGGGCGGCCTCCTCGGCCTGGCCGAGGTTCCGCCTGCGCATGGCAGCGAGGATGCTGCGCATGTAAGCGCTGTCGGCTGCCATCGTTTCTGCTGCCTGCGCCACCTGGGAATCTTCCTCGCCATGCCGGGGGGAAGGGGGGGAGGAGGAGGAGGAGGAGGAGGAGGAGGAGGAGGAGGAGGAGGAGGAGGAGGAGGAGGAGGAGGAGGAGGAGTCGCGAGCCCATGGGACGACGCGCCGAGTTCGACTCGGGAAGGGCAGAAGCGTTGGGAAAAGACGAGCGAGCGCAATCGAGCACAGAAAACCAGCGGGCCCCAGGGCACTGTTAGCCCAGCCGAAGCTTCACGGCAGTGACAGGAGGCCCCACGAAGAAAGCCCGGAATCGGCCGAGCCGAACTCCCAGGACACGAAACGAGTTTCGACAGAAAACTCGGGATACATGGATTAGATGGATAACAGGCCTAGCCACTGGACAGCATCGTCCGTGACCAACAGCCTGCGAGGGAGGGGAAGAGGGGGGGCACGGCCTCCCTTAGGGTGGACGCCCTTCATAAACTTACCCCTCCTCCACTTACGCTGGGGATTCCCCTCAAGGGCAGCCTCGGGATCACAAGTCCAGAAGAGCTGCGTGCGTGCCGACATGGCCGAGAAAGTCCCACACTTACTACATCCCACAACGTTCCCAAAAATAAACAAAACATGCCCTCTCGCCGAACAGGGCGGGACCTCCCCCATCCTCGGCAGGGGCTGCATCGGAAGGTCCGCGTCCGCCAGCGATGGCGGGGTGCCTCTCGCGGCCCGCGTCACGCCTCGCGCCGTCGCCACCAAGACCGCACCCGCGAGGGCCTCCTGAGGGTCCGCCACGGCCGCGGCGCCACAGGGTAGCCACCCTGTCCGTTGGCCTCGCCCCAGGTTGGCCTGGCCGTTGCCGACCCAGGCCGCCACCTTGCGCAACTCCTCCGGGAGCTCGGCGCGGCGCTCGTAGCCGCGGGCACCCCGTGGATCGCCAGGCCCTTCTTCGCCGCCATGTCCGCGTAGTCGTTGCCGATTTTGTCGGGCGATTCGCCCGACTCCGAGCCTGTCCGGCGGCCCTTGATCCACGCGATGCTGAGGTCTGAGCTGGGGCCGCCATGATCCTCCAGCGCGTGCCACAGCTGGCGCCACAGGTCCACGCCCTCCCTGCGCGGGCGCGCGGCGCGCCTCTTCCCCTGCTCGAGACCCTCCACAAAGCCCGAGCAGTCCGTTTTGATCTTCATGGGCGCCTGGATGATCGCGCACTGCTCGCCTCGCTGCGCTGTCTGCTGGGGGCCAGGCAACGGCCCACATGCCATGCCAAATGGCCGCTGCCCGTTCATCACCGCGATGCCCCAGCCCGCTCGATTCGCTTCCGGCCAGTGAAATGGGCACTTGGCCGATCCATCGGCGAAAATGGCCGGCCCCGCGATGGCCATGTCCCTGCCGCACACGCAGTAGCACCAAGCCTGGGCGCCCACCCTCGTCGGCCGCCCGCGGAAGGAACCCTCTCGTGTAGAATAGGTATCTGGGCGGCGCCTGCAATGCGCACCTCCTGATACCATCATCCACAGCTTCCACGCGCATGTCCTGCAGGTTCAGACAGGGCCACAGTCGATGATGGAGATGTCCGCGGCAGCCCTGGCAGTAGCAGCAGTTGGGGTCCTCCACATAGCCAACCGAGTAGAGCTGCTGCTGGGTCCATTGAGCCCCAATGACTGTCGACCCCAATGCCCCTCGGGCTCGCATGCTGAGGTTCCACTTGAAGGCATGTGGATCCGCTTGGACCATGGCCGCGATCGGCTCAATCCAGTAGCCATGCGGACCCCGAGGTGGAGGAGGTAGCTCTGGTGCATGTTCTCGGCGGTTGGGCCATTCTTCCGAATTCATGCTGCGGTAACTGCGTCGTGCCACGACGCGTCTCCAGCTCGGCGAGGCGTCCACCAGATCCATCGTCACGCCGCTTCCTGTCGCCCAGGTCCTCGCCGAGTGGGCACGCCATCCCAGTCGTCGCAGAAGCAGCTGTAATGCGCCAACTGGGCCAGAAACTTGCCCCCGCGCGCCAGTGCTGGAAATCGATCGCACTGGCCTGAATGTCCCAAGGCTTCTCTGGGATGTTGAACGGCACCTGGCAATCGTATACCATCTGGGCCCACGTGTGGAGCGGCTTCGTCATGGCCATGCTCTCGGGCATCAGGTCCAAGGCCTCCTCGAGCAGCGACGCCAGCCACGTCGACGACGCCGCCGGGATCTCGGCCCAGCCTGCGCGCGCTGCGTTCGCCATCGTAGCCAGCGTGGACGGCGGGGCCCCGACCACGCGCATGCCGCGCGCCATGCCAGGCGCCAGCGCGGGTCGCGCAGCTCGCCCGGCGACCCGCGCCAGTCCTGAGCCCCCGAAACCTCGGAAGGCGCTCCTTGACCTCGCGCACCCTCTTGTGGATAGCCGAGTAGATGAGACGGGCGCCCGCGCGACATTCCAGTCCCAAGACGGCGAGCTGCCGCGCCGCCTCGAAGCCGAAAGCGCGAAGTCGTCGCGCCACTTTCTCAGCCAGCCACCGCGAGGAGCTCAGGAATATGGCCTTGTCCCTGGCGACCGGGAGCTCCAGCGCCTCATGCACTGCGGCCAGCCTCGCGATGACTCCAGTGGCCAGCTCTACCATCTCCGTCGAGTGGGACATCATCTGCAGCGCGATGTCGCCAGCGTAGATGTCCAACGTGACCCTGGGCCCGCTCAGGGAGGCGCCGAATATGTCAAACGGCATCATCATTGCCATCTGGAGGGAGTACTTCGCGATCGTGCAACCAGGTAGGGCACCAGCCGCGGCGCGGACCGCACAGGAGTAGGTCGCCCCCCAGCGGACCCTCCTGGGCGCCAACACTTGGAGAGCACCGCCCTGAAGACATCCGCGGGGAACCCCTAGTACTGTGCCGCTCTGATGATATTGATCCACTGGAGCCTGTCGAAGCATTTGCTGATGTCCACCAGCGCGGTGATGACGGCCTCGCCCTCTGTCGCGTCAGTCGCCTCAGCGCAGTCCATGGTGCGAGCCCCCACCCCCGCCCCTGATGCAAAATATGGCCTGGCATGGGCCGCCATCCATCTGCGGACGTGGCCTATGCGCGCCTTGGCGTTAGACCCTGTAGATGGAGGGAAGGAGGGCGATCGGGCGGAAGCCATCCTGCGCCTTCGCGAGGAGCATCACGCGCACAGCCATGATGGGCGATGGCCATCTCCCCCATGACTCCGATGCCCATATTGTGTAAATCAACATGACCAGCGCATCGTCGGACAGGATGGAGCAGGCACGGGGGGGCACAGCATCGACACCCAGGCCTGCATTCCAAGCGAAAGTCTCGGAGGCCGCTCGCATCCAATCAATCCTCGGCACGGGGAGGGCGCCCCGCGGGACGCTGCGGATGAGCTCGGGCATCTCGCCGCCCATGTCGACGAGGTGCTCTAGCGTACTCATTGGCAGTGGCCATCCGCTGGGGGCGCTGCCCCCTGTCGAGGTCACCCTGGACATCCTTGATGACAGCATCCGAGAGAGCGCGATCCACCGCCGCTTTTCCGTGGAAGGCCCCCCCCTCTTCCTCCGCCGCCC